CAAACACTTTTAACTTTTAAAAGGGGTAATTTCTCTGATATGAGGGGGCATGTGGGGGGGAAACTGAAAGGAAAAGTAGAAAGGGTCAAAACCATTGGGGAAGCTTGGAAACTATTTAAAACTACAATCCTAGAAGCTCAAAAAATATATATTCCGCAGGTTAGGAAAGGCACAAAAAGGTATAGGAAAAAGCCTGCATGGTTAACAAACAGAGTAATGGAAGCTGTAAAAAGTAAAAAGAATTCCTTTAAGCAGTGGAAAGCTAGTCACAGTGAGGCTGATAAAATGGAACACAGACTATGGCAAATAAAATGCAAGTCTAAGGTCAGGCAGGCAAAAAGGGAATATGAGGAGCATATAGCAAAAAACGTAAAAACCAACAATAAAACTTTCTTCAAATACATTAGAAACAGGAAACCAGATTAGAAGCAGGAAACCAGCCAGGGAGGCAGTGGGGCCCTTGGATGACCAAGGGGTAAAAGGAGTACTGAAGGATGACAGGGAAATGGCTGAGAAGCTAAATGCATTTTTTGCCTCTGTCTTCACTGTGGAAGATGAGAAGTGCTTGCCCACTCCAGAACCGCTGATTTCGGGAAAGGTGTTGAAAGACCTGAGTCAGATTGAGGTAACGAGAGAGGAGGTCCTAAAACTGATAGACAACTTAAAAACTGAAAAATCACCAGGCCCAGATGGCATACATCCGAGAGTTCTGAAAGAACTCAAATGTGAACTTGTAGATCTCCTGACAAAGATATGTAATCTTTCCTTAAAATCTGCCTCCATTCCTGAGGATTGGAAGGTAGCAAATGTCACTCCCATCTTTAAAAAGGGTTCCAGAGGAGATCCGGGAAATTACAGGCCAGTCAGTCTGACGTCGATACCGGGTAAATTGGTGGAAACCATTATTAAGGAAAGAATTAGTAGGCACATAGATGAACAAAACCTATTGAGGCAGACTCAGCACGGTTTCTGTAAGGGAAGATCTTGTCTCACTAACCTGTTAGTGTTCTTTGAGGGGGTGAACAAACATGTGGACAAGGGGGATCCAATAGATATTATTTACCTTGACTTCCAGAAAGCTTTTGATAAAGTTCCTCATCAAAGGCTCCTAAGTAAGCTCAAAAATCATGGGATAGAAGGACAAGTCCTTTTATGGATCAAAAACTGGCTAGTTCATAGAAAACAGAGAGTGAGTGTAGGTGGGCAATTTTCTCAGTGGAGGGTGGTAAGCAGTGGGGTACCACAGGGATCAGTACTTGGTCCACTGCTTTTTAACTTGTTCATTAATGATTTGGAGATGGGAGTAAGCAGTGAAGTGGCTAAATTTGCGGATGATACAAAGTTGTTCAGGGTGGTGAAAACCAGTGAGGATTGTGAGGCACTCCAAGGGGATCTGTCAAGGATGGGCGAGTGGGCGTCAACATGGCAAATGGGGTTCAATGTGGCCAAGTGCAAGGTGATGCACATTGGAGCCAAAAATCCTAAATATAAATACACATTGATGGGGTCTGAACTGGCAGAGACTGAGCAAGAGAGAGATCTTGGAGTTGTAGTGGATAACTCACTGAAAATGTCGAGACAGTGTGTGACTGCAATAAAGAAGGCCAATGCTATGCTGGGGATTATTAGGAAGGGTATTGAAAACAGATCAGCCAATATAATAATGCCCCTATATAAATCAATGGTGAGACCTCATTTGGAATACTGTGTGCAGTTCTGGGCACCACACCTTAAAAAGGATATTATAGCTTTGGAAAAAGTGCAGAAAAGGGCAACTCGAATGATAAAAGGGTTGGAACACTTTCCCTATGAGGAAAGGTTAAAGCGCTTAGGGCTCTTTAGCTTGGAGAAAAGACGACTGAGGGGTGACATGATCGAGGTTTATAAGATTATGCATGGGAAAGAGCAGGTAAAGAAAGAGGTACTTTTCTCCCTTTCTCACAATACAAGAACTCGTGGGCACTCCATGAAACTGCAGAGCGGTCGGGTTAGAACGGATAAAAGGAAGTACTTCTTCACCCAAAGAGTGATTAACACATGGAATTCACTGCCACAGGAAGTGGTGGGTGCTACAAGCATGGACGGCTTCAAAAGGGAATTAGATAAGCATATGGAGCAGAGGTCCATCAGTGGCTATTAGCCACAAGGTATAGCTAGGGGCTCTGGGGCAAGTGATGCTCTGTCTTCTTGGTGCTTGGGGGGGGGGGTCAACAGTGGGAGGGCTTCTAAAGTCCTGGCCCCACTGCTGGACCTCCTGATGGCACCTGGTACTTTTGGCCACTGTGTGACACAGAGTGTTGGACTGGATGGGCCTTTGGCCTGATCCAACATTGGCGTCTCTTATGTTCTTATGTTCTCCCGAGTCATGAATTCAGAACAGCCGGTTTCAAGGTGGGGCACCCCATCTGCCTTATGCTTGCTGATCTCTGCTCCTGCCCCTAGACTTTGTCTGCCACAGTCATGCATGGCCGAAAAACAAAAGGTGGATCCCCACAGAGCGGAGAGAGGAAGGAGGGTCCGTACATTAGGTTCTGAGGAAGCTGAACCAGAACAGCATGCTTGAAAGAGAATCCCAGACTCAGTGTTTGGGTCTAAAGAAAGGTAAGCTTGTTTTAAACTTCGGGCGGAAACATTCCCATGCTCGGTGGGACCTCTTTTAAAACAACAACAACAACTCTTACCATTTCTCCTCTTACATGATGACACATTGGTTGGGCTCAGATCGTCATCTCCAGTCACACGCAGGAGGAGTCAGGTGGGCAGGGTGTGAGTCTCCCCATCTGCTGACCACAGATGGACTCAAGGGACCTGAGCTGGCTGCTGCCCGCTTTTCCCACCAAGAGACCCCGCCCCCTGGTCTCCTCCAGCCCATCCCAGTTTGAGGTGGCCCATCACGCCTGTCAAAGAATCCCCTTTGATCCGGAGTGACCTGGAGGAGCTCAAGTGAAGCAGTGCTCTTGTGAGTACCCCCCCCCAACCTCTCTCCTCCAGGGGCTGACGACCCGACCCCCTAAGAAGAAAAAGCTTATTTCAGCTTATTATTTTAAAACAGAAAGGACTTTGCTTGTTTAGAAAAATAGTTATACATTTAATTAAATGAACTGAATTGGTGTGATGCCCAGTAAAAGGAATCTTATAATTGAATGTCATGATAATTAATAGAGTTGAGGAAAAGTACAATTATACTTTCTGTAAAACGAGATTTAAGTTTGGAAAAACCCTTTCCGTATGTGTTTCAAGAAGTCAAAACAAAATCTTAATATTTTATGGCTAAGAATGAAAACTTATGGTATAAAATATTTCTGAGTATGAGAGAAGTAGCTAGCTGGATATTTACTAAGACTATTTTTTAAATAAGAAATTTTGCTTACGACTTCCAAACTGCTAACAAGTTGGGAGATATTCCAAAAAATTTTTTATGAAGTCCCAGGACTCAATCATGCATACCTGTCATTAATTAGAAGCCAATTAAAAGTTCAACATTTGTATTATACAAAGGGGACCCCTACTGGCAAAGGTAAAATAGCATATTTTACAAAATTAGAAGTTTCAATTTAGATTTAATACTTTATAAAAATTAACAAAAATGTCCTGGTGGATCAAAATGAAGAATGATAGGTAGATTCAGTGTATCTACAAAAGCTTTATGTCATAGACCACTTTGCAATATTAGAAAGTGCTTATAGAGAGTTTAATATTTAAAATAGTGCTATAATTTTGTATTTCAGGATTCAATGTATTCTGTCTATATTTTAAGAGCAATAACCCATAAAATGATATTAAGAATGTTGTTATACTTTATAATCCTGTATCAATGTAAAGGAACCATTTTTGTAACAGAACGGATAGATTTTATACTAAAGATGAGCTCAGCCTCTTTGTCTGTACAAAGTTCATTCCAAAGTGAAACAAGTCTGGGAGATCGGCCAAAGAGGCATTCATCATTTTTAATAAGATGAACACCTGAATTGTAGAGTTGAGAAGTGGCCAAGTAACATCTTATTTGTCAAGTATGTAATTAATGACTGTTCAGACAAAGAAATCTAAACTGAGTGTGTGCAACAAATGCTGTCAATAATGACGTAAAGTTGGGAGGAGCAAGAAGAGTATATAAGTCTGATCCCTACCGCTATTCACTGAACATCTGAGCTGCATTTTTAGCTGTAAGATGTTCCTTTATTTGAATAAATTTCTTTCTCTACCCTTTACTGCCTGGAATTATCTGTCTCACTGTGTCGTTTATTGGCTCGCCACACAAGTCAAAGAACTTTAGCACCCTCAGGGTGTTGCCTTCGGTGGCTTCGTTTGAACAGCGGGAGGGGGGAGGTCCCACTCTTCGCACAGAAGGGAGGGGTCCCGTCCTGCTTTAGATGCCCCCCCTTTTCCAAGCTGAGGAGTGTTGGGAATCAGGGGACAAAAAGAGAAAGCTGCTATAAGGTTTTCTGGGTTTTTAAAAAACAGTGCTTCCAGGCATCAGTCTGAGCGCAGAAGAGAGATAATGCTCTTTGATCAGAAGCGGAGCACCCTTTGCTGGCTGCCGATTCTCCTGACCCACATCCCCTTTTCGCCGCTCACGTGTGCCATGAGCACCTCGGAAGCAGGTGTTTCACAGGCCTCATTCAATGTCTGCAATGACCTAAGGCGCACCCCCTGCTCTACCTCTACTTGTCCTCCAGCAAGGTAATGCAGATGCTGATCTTGCAGCCAGTGTCACAGCCTGCAAAGGAAAGGACAAACTCGGATGTTTCTAGAACAAAGAATGCTTGTGGAATCAATAACTGAAAAGCAGCATCTCAGCCCTCCCACAAACTGTAAGAAAACAGATAACAGAAAAACACTTTAAATGTGCTAACAAAAAGGCCTCAGTGTTAAGCCTCTCTCTCTCCCCGGGCAACAGACCTAACAGCATAGAAGGCCATCCTCATAACAACAAATGCTTGCAAAGACACATGCTCAGGTCAGTCATGGGCAGACACACAACCTCGACAAATGATTCACCTGCAAATTTTCTTTTTTATTAAAAATACACCAGCCCACGTGCTGCCCCCCCATTTAGAACAGACTTCATTGCAGAATCAGTATCTTCTTACTGAGCAATCCCCAAAGAATTCTCACTTCATCCCCATCAGCTCTGAGAAACGTTGCCTGTTCCGGCGAAGGAGGCAGGTGAGATTACAAGGGTTCTTGTGCCACAACTAGGGAGTCCGGCTGGATGAGAAGTGTGGCCCCAGACGAGGTGGTTTGTGAAGAGAAATCTTAACTTTGCAGTTTTTCCTGTTGCCCACCTTGCTCTCTTGCAGAGTTGTCTGTTACACCACGTGCATCCACAGCTGTCCACAGTCCTTACTTCCAGGCAGAAATTCAGTGAGGGGCCCCCCACCTTCACACCGGAGGACTACCTCACATGCAGGCCTACCAGGAATATTGGCTCAGACAAGGTCTAGAGCATCAGAAGGAATGATATTGAGTTGCCATGAGAGATCCAGCGCTGAGCAGATCGGTCAGGTAAATTCCTTCACGGGGAGTCATTCCAGAGCCCTGTATCTCCATGCTTCTGTGTCTCCACCTTGGGTACAATTGTAAGAGCTGGCATTTCTGTCACCCTTTTTGGCGTGGCACGCTTATCAGCACTGTCTCCAGCTGGAAAATTGAGAGTGGTTGGCTGCAACTGAACTCAGAATTCACACACTGCAATCTGCATGGTTCTATACATTCAATGAGTCTTGCCAAAACTTCAAACATGAGCACCACAACATTTAATGAGGGAAAAGCTCCATTAAATGCAGAGATATTTCACGTGCTTCATACCTCAACCTTAAAAAAAAAAAACCCAGCTAGGGAGGCAGTGGTGCCCTTGGATGACCAAGGGGTAAAGGGACGACCAAGAAGTAAATGGATCAAAGAAGGACAATAGGGAAATGGCTGAGAAGCTGAATGCATTTTTTGCCTCTGTCTTCACTGTGGAAGATGAGAAGTGCTTGCCCACTCCAGAACCGCTGAGTTCGGGAGGGGTGTTGAAAGACCTGAGTCAGATTGAGGTGATGAGAGAGGAGGTCCTAAAACTGATAGACAACTCAAAAACTGATACATCCAAGAGTTCTGAAAGAACTCAAACGTGAACTTGTGGATCTCCTGACAAAAATATGTAATCTTTCCTTAAAATCTGCCTCCATTCCTGAGGACTGGAAGGTAGCTAATGTCACCCCCATCTTTAAAAAGGGTTCCAGAGGAGATCCGGGAAATTACAGGCCAGTCAGTCTGACGTTGATACCAAATAAGTTGGTGGAAACCATTATTAAGAAGAGAATTAATAGGCACACTGATGAAAAAAACTATTGAGGCAGACTCAGCATGGGTAAACAAACACGTGGACAAGGGGGATCCAACAGATGCTGTTTACCTTGACTTCCAGAAAGCTTTTGATAAAGTTCCTCATCAAAGGCTCCTAAGTAAGCTCAATAGTCATGGGATAAAAGGACAAGTTCCCTTGTGGATCAAAAACTGGCTAATTAACAGGAAACAGACAGTGAGTATAAATGGGCAATTTTCACAGTGGAGGGTGGTAAGCAGTGGGGTTCCACAGGGTTCAGTACCTACATCCGATGCTTTTTAACTTGTTCATCAATGACTTGGAGTAGGGAGTAAGCAGCGATGTGTCTAAATTTGTGGATGACACTAAATTGCTCAGGGTGGTGAGAACCAGGGAGGATTGTGAGGCACTCCCAAAGGATCTGTCGAGGATGGGCGAGTGGGCATCAACGTGGCAAATGGGCTTCAATGTGGCCAAGTGCAAAGTGATATACATTGGAGCCAAAAATCCTAAATATAAATACACGTTGATGGGGTCCGAACTGGCAGACTGACCAAGAGAGAGATCTTGGAGTCATAGTAGATGACTCACTGAAAATGTCGAGACAGTGTGCGACTGCAATAAAAAAGGCCTAGCTATATTGGGGTTTATTTGGAAGGGAACTGAAAACAAATCAGCCAGTACTATAATGCCCCTGTATAAGTCGATGGTGGAACCTCATTTGGAATACTGTGTGCAATTCTGGTCACCACACCTCAGAAAGGACATTATAGCATTGGAAAAAGGTTAAAAAGCTTATGGCTCTTTAGCTTGGAGAAATGACGACTGAGGGGTGACATGATTGAGATGTACAAGATTATGCATGGGATAGAGCAGAAGTACTTTTCTCCCTTTCTCACAATACAAGAACTCGTGGGCACTCCATGAAATTGCTGAGCGGTCGGGTTAGAACAGATAAAAGGAAGTCCTTCTTCACCCAAAAAGTGATTAACACACGGAATTCACTGCCACGGGAGGTGGCGGCGAATACAAGCATGGACGGCTTCACGAGGGAATTGAATCAACATCTAGAGCAGAGGTCCATCAGTGGCTATTAGCCACAAGGTATAGATAGGAACTCACAGGCTGGGGTAGGTGATGCACTGTATTCTTGATGCTGGGGGGGGCAACAGTGGGAGGGCTTCTAATGTCCTGGCCCCACTGATGGACCTCCTGATGGCACCTGGCATTTTTGGCCACTGTATGACAGAGTGCTGGACTGGTGGGGCCATTGGCCTGACCCAACACTGGCTTATGTTCTTATGTCTGGGGCAAGTGATGCTCTGTATTCTTGGTGCTGGGGGGAAGCACAGTGGGAGGGCTCCTGGTGTCCTCCTGGCCCCACTGCTGGACCTCCTGATGGCCCCTGGTATTTCTGGCCACTGTGTGACACAGAGTGTTGGATTGGAGGGGCCATTGGCCTGACCCAACGTTAGCTTCTCTTCTGCTCTTAAATCAAGTGAGTCATCTCTGCTCTCAGCGCCCAAGCTGACAGAGCCTGACAAGTCTAAATGTGCACATCTGATGCAGCCTGAAAGTGACGACTCGGCCTTTACCCTCACTCTGCTGCCTCAGCATCCCATATATGCCTCAGCAGCTCCCGAGTGAAGGAGTGACTAGCCGGACCTGGCTGCAGTCAGTCAAAAAGCCCTTCCAGGCATTTTTTTTAAAAAATCCCCCACTTCTTCCCCCCCTCCCCCGGCCCCGCATTCAAGTCCACACTTGACATACGCTGCTCCCTCCATGAGGTGCGCCCACAGCTGCCCCTCGGGGGAGCACTCATGCACCAGATCTTTACTTCCTTATACAGACCCAGGCCTCCCCATTAAAGACCAAAAAGAAGAAGAGCCCTCTACCACCTGCTCATCAGTCCCACTGAATTCCGTGACAGCCACTCCAAACTCGCCACCTTAGAGCTCAGGTCTGAGGTGCTGCCACCTCAGCAAGGGGAAGAGAACTTTGTTACACTTACGCAAGATAGCCTCATACGTGACTCCATGGAGAGTTAACAGGTCTTTCAATTTCTGTACATCTTTGGAAAGCTGCTGATATTCCTAGAAGAAGGGAGGGAAGCCTCATCTCATACAAGCACAAAGTTCAGTCGGTACCAAACACTGGAGTGAAGCAGACCTCGGAAACAAAGAGACACAGTAGAGAAAAGGCTGCTTTTTCCTGACAGAGTGACTGATTGCTGGCATCGGCTCCGATTAATCACACGGGGGGCCACCCTCAGCATCTCTGCACTAACCACCCAGAGAATTTCACAATGCTCTCAATGCTTGGATGACATTCACAGGCTGCTTCTGCTTGGCCACCTCTTGACAGCTCTCCCTCCCCTGTCCCCGTAAGCCACTGAAATAAGCGGGTATTCATGCTCTGCTCCCACCCCCCCACGGGGACCCCGAGCAGCTCACGGCACCTTTCTCTCCTCTGCACCTCCATCTGACCCTCACAATAACCTTACGAAGTAGGGGTAGGCAGAAAGGAAAAAGCAATGGGCCTGGAGTCGTCCCAGGGAGCTTCCACGGCAAAGGAGAGGCCTGGACCTGAGTCTGGCTCTCCAGCCGCCGCACCAGCACATTTACTCAGCGAGGGACTCCACTTAAAACACAGGTAATCAGAGCATCCATGAGTCACCGGCACAACAGCTCTTTCCAGTTTCTGTACCTTGTTGCATTTTTCCAGAGATTCAAATTCCTGATGCTGAAGTTTATTTTTTTGCTCACTCTGCGCCTCTTTTGTTGATTTAAAAAAGGAGGCTTCTTCAAAGATCTCTCTCAACCTTTTCTCATAGCCCTGGAAAAACAAAAACACCAAATCAAGCTCCATTTCCTCCCAAGGCCACCGGTTTGCTTCTCATCTCTGGCTTCTGCACAAATAAAATGATACGGAGAGACACCCCCTTTCCCCCCCCCCCCCGGTAGGGTTTTCAAGGCCAGAGACGCTCAGAGGCGGTTTGCCATCGCCTGCCTCCACATCCCGCCCCTGGTATTCCTTTGGGGGGGGGTCTCTAATCCAAGCACTGGCCATGGCTGGCCCTGCCTGGCTTCTGCGATTCGACAAGACCAGGCTAGCCAAGTCAGGGGTCCATCCATCAGTCAGTAGGTGGATTTACATCAAGTTTCCCATTCTGAAATAAATGCATTTCCTGGAGAAGTGTAGATACCCACTGGCTGCTCTAACTATACCGGTGAGCAGCTAAGTCTTAGGACAATCATCCAAGACCTTTGGCCAGATAGCCTAGAAACACAGTGCAGAATGACAAGAGACCCCTCTGCCCAGATTTCTCAGACTCTGTGCAAAGGTACTAAAAGCCAGATTCACTTCCTCAAAGGCCAAATGTGTGCTCATTGGGAAGGAAGCCTCCTTTGACTACTTGGGACTCTTCTTCTTCTTCTGCCAAGAAAACATTCATGGATTAGGCTATAGTTAGCCGCAAGGTTTCCACAGACACAGACAAATGCGGAGAAGTGATCAAGACTCAGCCTGGCTTTACTAGAACAATTTTGGCTGAGACCGACCAGAATTCTTTGCAACTGTCTGGCCAGGTCCAGCTTGTGGCACAACTGAGAGTCTAAGCCTGAAGTAGAAAACGGGACAGACCAGTGCATTGCTTAGACACAGAGGAATGATTGGAAACTGGGAAGAGGCGCGTGGGGGGGTGGGGGGCAACAAGGGAGGCTTTCAAAATGAACAGTACATGTCCAAGCGGATTTCTAGAGCCATCAGTTCTCTAACTGGAGAAGTGACAACAGGCCAGAGTGTGAAATAAGAAAGAGTACTGCAGAGGCGGTTTCTGTGGCCAAAGGCAGATCCACCGGGTGGTCAGTAGCTGTAATAATGACTAGCTTGTCCCTGGACCCAGGAAGGAGCTCAGGGTAACAAATCTAACAGAAGGATTTCCCCCCCACCCCCATCCTTGTCGCTTTTATTCAGCTGTTGGTTCTAAGTCTGACTGACAGCCACGGCTTCCCGTGAAAAATTTATTGTCGGCTGTAAAATGATTGAACTCCAACTCGATCTTCATTTAAATGAGCTTATTTTGCTTAACATTTGATACAACTTAAAACAAACCCAACACACATGGAAAACAATCCTGCAAATTTAACTAGAAACCCCTCATGGATGGGTATAGCCGGCCAAAACCAGGTCTTCCCAGTAGGCAAGAGCATTCTCATCCAAACCTGCTTTGTGATCATCTCTTCATAAAGTGACTGCTCGACATCATCCCACTTTCTTCGGAGGGCTTCAGGCAGGGCTGGGTACACTGCAAAAGAAGAGAGACCCTTGCTGCTCCTGAGGGCGGCTGGGGGCGGGAGCTGCCTTTCAGCCTGGTGCCTCCACAGTTCAAATCCATGGGGACTTCCTCACACCTTGATCAGTGGCAGATGCGGAGCGATAGCCCTGATGGACGAATGCCACCCACGTGAGGGACGTTTCCTGTTCTCCTGGGCAAGGGCCTCACCAAAGGGAGCTTCCTGAGCCCTTGCTGCATGTTTGTCAAGTTGCATGGGGGTGGGAGGAAAGATTACAAGAGCAAATGTCTGTGGGGCTGGGGGCTGGGGTTCTGTTCCTGATCCTTCACCCCGGCTACTTTGTATCCACCATCATTGTTATTGGCAGAGCATTCCTCAAAGGTAAACTTTACCATAAGGGGCCCTTCACCATCTCCCTCTGTGGTGTATTTGAACACAAAAGAGGTATTTTCCCACTGGCAGGACTGTACACTTGACCCCTACCCCCAGGGGCTTTCTGTGCACGGTTACTACACACCGTGCCATAAGGCCAGCTAACTGATCTACGTTGTCTCACTTGCAAGGATAGATGTTCCCCGGGCTACTGCTGGCTACTCCAAACTTCTGTCTGAAGGCAGTCCCAAAGTGCGGGTTGCAGGCATCGATTGCTGTGGCACGGGGGTCAGTGCTATGGCCATGTTTGCCCACTGTAGATAGGCAAGCTCATAGGCAATTTTGCCAGCACTGTATGTGTCTGAAGCATTGCTAGGGCACTAGCATCGCTAGGGCAAGAGATGAAGAAGAAGAGGAGAAGGAGATTGGATTTATACCCTGCCCTTCACTACCCAAAGGTGTCTCAGAGGGGCTTACAGTCTCCTTTCCCTTCCCCTCCCCACAACAGACACCTTGTGAGGTAGGTGAGGCTGAGAGACCTCTGACAGAAACTGCTCTTTTTTCAAGAACAGCTGTGCCAGAATTATGGCTTTCCCAAGGTCATCCAGCCAGGTGCAAGTGGAGGAGTGGGGAATTAAATCTGGTTCTCCCAGATTAGAGTCCATGCACTTAACCATGACACCAAACTGGCCCCTTCCTCCTCCCTTGCCTCAACACATCTTGTTATTCGCCCTAAATAAAGTAGACAAACAACCTGTAACTGCAGTTATGTTACACCCACATAGAGCTGGCTGTGGCAGGCATTAGCACGGCATGACATTGCAGTCTGGCCAAATACTCTTTCCTGAACCTGCTTGATTGGATCTCAGCCCTAACTGTGAAACTGCAAGGTCAGACAAGCTCAGCCCCTGAGATGTAAGCATCGCAATACCTTGCAAGATTCCCAGACTTCCCTAGTGTCCAGGGCTAAAAATGGCAGCACGAGCTGCATACAGCAACTTCCCTGCATTTCCTCCCTCCCCCCCACCCCCCCACCCCCCCAAGCAGCAGATCAGATAACCCTACCTAAGAGAGAATGCGGGTGGCAAACGAGTGGTGTTTCGAATGTCAGAGAATAAATGCAAGTGCTTGGTTCAGACACGTGAGCTAACCTGTTGCTCTTCCCACAGACAAGGAGGACCTGGAAGCAAACAATGGAGAACTTCTGAAAACAGCCAAATTGCCAGCTTTGTACTGAATCAAAGTCCCCTTTCACCCACACTCTCAAGCACCGCCACTGCGTTAGAGAACACAGCTTAATCTTGCACCAATGCAATGCAAGGAATGGCTCTCGTGTCGTCTTACCGCAGCTACAGCACTACGAACAGGCACCTGCTGATGAGCCCCTCCACTTCCAAAAAGGGAAAAAGTCACACAACTGTCTTTTGGACGCTGAATACCCTCAACAAATTCTCCTTCTGCCTACAACCCATTTTAGGGAAGTACCACGACCACCGCTTTAGAGGCCGCAGGTCAGGAGCAGAAAAGCCATTCTCACTTCCACAAACGACTCGATTGCCATACCTTGGTCTGCCTGTTCCTGGTTTCACACGCATCTCCATCCCTCATCCACATGCCAACAAACGTATTGTTTTCAATTTCCCATTCCTGCCAGATACTGAAAGACCAGGGAGGGGGAGAAAACCGTGTTCCCATTTCCAGTTTTTTACATTATGTGCCGCACAGTAAAACACAGAAGGTTTTAGCACTTTTCTTAGTCTAAAACTAACACTATGCGTGCATGGTCCAAGCCCCTAATGTGGAACAGGGCCGCCATCTCTAGGCACCTGCCGCTTTGTCTCTTGGACTGTGGGAAGGAACCCCGAGTGGAGCTGCTAACCAGCAGCTGGCCCTTACCCAAGAATTCCACTGTAAGCGTTCCACCGGAAGGTTTGCTCATGCTGGGTGATGTTCTGGAAGGGGCAGAATTCGTACTTGTACCTAAAGAGAGCCCAAAAGATGGCCACGGCAGTCTCTGGCACAAGTCCTTCCCTTTTCACCCAGGCCCACCCTGGCTACTTACGTGGACTCCATGTAGCTGAAGCACTTGCCCACCAGCCGGAGGAGATGGGCAGGGCCTGCAAACGAGAGGCAGATAAAACAGCTTCCACCCCCACCCCCACCCCCACCCCCCCGTTGCAGAAGGCCAGCCTGACAGGGAGACAATGCCAGTCAGCGGGAGGCGGTCCAGGCGGGAAGAGCTAACCCCCCCAAAACCCCGCCACCCGCGACTTGCACCCTCCCGCTTAGGGGAAGCAGGGCCGGCCGCAGGGGGGATGTTCAGGTGTGCCTGAAAGCCCAGTTCCCCCAAGGGACGATGCTACCCGCCCCCTCCCGGCCCTCACCTGAAGCCGGTGCTGGGCTGGCTTTGGGCTGCAGACGGTGGGCAGGAGGCAGGAAAGGGTTGTGCAGCCTGGGTGGGAAAGAGAGTGAAGGCTCAGTGTGTGGGGGGGGGGGGGGAGGG